ACTGCCACACCTTCCCTGCGCGGGTCTTCCACCTCAAGTAATGTTCAGTGACAAAACACGGCGGGGAGCCGGTTAAGACAGGGACAGCGGCGCGGCCACGCAGAGAAGGTCGGTGAAACGCGGGAGAGGGGGTGGGGGAAGAGAGGGGGGTGAGACAGTCGGAACAAGCGTGCTTCATTACGGCTGACAAACGCCCGTCGCTCCCCGTCCCCCTCGCTGGCGCGTCTGGCTTGGTCCTTCGTCTCCCCCCCCCTTCCCCCTTCCCCCTCTCCCTCCCACCAACACCGCCGCCGCCACCGTCGAGACCCCGGTCTGAATGTCACTTGTCAGGGGAATTTCAGCGCGATTGTTCTAGATTTTCGGGACGGCCGCGTTCGCCGCCACACCCACGCCACGCTCACGCCTCCCCCCCCATCCCGCCACTGAAGCTTCCGCCCGCCGCTTCCGGTTCGAGCCTTCATCTATGCGACGCGCGCGCTATCCCTTTCAAACACAGGGATGTGCTACATGCAACATCGCGAGGCAAGAGCATTTTTGCATGTTTATCAGGGGAACGCATTTTACCGAAAGGCAGTGCTTCGTGTAGACTCAGTTCTTGGCACTTTGTATTGCCAAAAAATACCCTTTTAATCATTTTAAAAGTATTGTACTTCCTAATTTTCGGTTCGCGCCTTCATCTATGGTACGCGCATGTTATCCTTTGCATGTTCAGGGTTGAATAGCGAGCCAGAAATGTCTGTCCGCAGAAGAACTTTGCTGGTGAGAGTGAGTGATAGCAACAGAAATCATGTCGCTAGCACGAGCTGCAAATTGAAAATGTAAATTGCGAACTCAGCACAATCATAATATATTCTTGACTCGTTTCCCAGTGTTCTGGTTGCTACAATATTAATGCAGTTGTTAATAAGAAGCCTTGATTCGGCTTAGTGCGGAGAGACTTTGCTGATACACTGTATTAGACACAATATCGCGCGGCAAGAAAATGTTAGTATGTTTGGGCGAAGAATGCATTTCATCTAAAGGCAGTTCTCATTAAGCCCTCACTCTTCATATTCCCAGAATAATATTTCTTTAATAATTATAAGACTACTGTACTTTCCAGATTCCTTTCCACAGAAATGACGCCATGTTGAATAAACGAAGCCCCACCTTGCGGAACAGTAGGAAATTTTAATTCAAATTTTACAAAGTTTCTCGGAATAAATGGATCAGTTTTACCGATGCATATAGAGTGGTAATTTACAGTTAACGTAGTTATATCCGTTCATACATGTGGCATTTGGCAGTGATTTTCAGACAACTCCGTTTACTCAGATGAATGGCAGAGACATGAAGTGTCCTTGATTGCGCCAGGACGTATTACTGTACAGGTTTTCTTGAGCCCACATTTTTATAAATGTGTGAAAAGAGGTGTTTGTTATTTTAGAGGATATAGTTATTACATCAACATATAGCTCGATTTCGATGTAATATAGTTTCTATTATTGGGATAGAACATGACTGGTAATTAGATTTTTTCAACAACACACCGTCACAAACATTTATTTTGAATTCAACTAATCGTAGTAAAAGACTGGTATGCCGAGGCTCAAGAAAACCTGCCGAACATCCGTGCAAAAGAATTTGCCTGAAATTCAGAGGGAAAATACTCATGTGCAATTCCGTTATATGAAACGTCCCACAATTTTCTCATTTTCAAAAGTAATCATTTTCGACCATTATAAATGCTATAGAACATTGTAAAATACATTTTGAGACTTATTGTTCAATTTGGTTCAAAATTGCCTTCAGCTCGGGGAGGGTAGTTTCTACTAACTAACAGGATTCTATTTTGGCCAAACAAATTTGTAAATTACCATAGCTTCAAGATTATTAAACAAATATAGGAATACGAAGAGTCAGAGGTTTAACAAACACTGCCTTTTGATAGGATCAATTCTTCTCACGAGCATACTAAACATTTGTTTCTGTAATGTATGCAAAAACCACTAACACAACGAATGTGTAATAATGCGGATGACAATGAAAGCCTGTCAAATTTTATAGAATCGTATTTCTTGCCGCCAGCTGTGTCGTAAGCAGTGAGTTTGATAATATTGTTGTAACATAATGAGATATGAGAAACTGCTAATTAATTTAATAATTTTGGTGGGGCTAAATCGAAACTGTTTCATTTTAGAGTTATTGGTTATCGAACGAAACCATAGACACTTCCCACATGGTTAGATGCTACTTAGTTTCCAAACAATGTATACCTTTGTTCGAAATTAGTATTATACGATCTTACTTCTCTTCAAGTCTCTGCAATCCCCTTCTTTTCAAGACCAGTTCACATCACGTCTCGAATGAAGAATGGATTTAATTTCCCAGCTCCAAAGCATTGAAAATATTGTCTCTCGAATCAGAATAACAAGCAATTAGGTACAGTAGATGTGACGAGCTACTACCCGTGACGCACATCTGTTTCATATTCAACACCACCTATTCTTCTCTGGAAGGCGGCGAAGAGAAAATCGAGTTATTTTGCGAACGTTTTCAGCAGAATCCCCACCTCATGACTGCGATCTTCCTCCAGGCCATTGTTTTTTAGAACGCGCGAAAATAAAATATTTGATTTTCTGAGAGTGTTGCTTCCTGCGAGTTTATTCGGCTCGCTGAATTGATGGATTTAACGTGGAATCAAGTCACGAAAAAGGGGCCGAGAAAGTTAAAAATCTCTCTAAATAAAGATCCTACGTACAGTTGGTACACATAGAAATGAATGCGAAAAGTACACAAACAGATGGATTCTCAGCGTGCGTGTGGTTTGTTGGATCAGAATTGACATTGGTGTATCTTGACGTCTTTTCGTGCAGGTACATTTACGTAATAGATATAAACTTTATTGCTGTTACGGTTTAAAACTTTAAATATTATAATTTGAAATGTATTTAATATTGACGATTGTGTGAAATATCGTAGTGTGTGTCATTAATTGACACACAAAAATCTCAAGAGATTTTGTTTAAATCACTGACATTTAAAAACAATAGTACATCAGAATATCACTTTTAAACCTTATTTTTATCAGTATAATTAAACACGCAATGCATTCAATACATATTTTGTTACCATCTTATTCTTTGTTGCATATATTGAATATTTTCTTGGCAAATTCAGTTTTAAAAATGCACAGTAAAAACATGAAACAAAAAATTTGATGTGTATCATAAACAAATTACATCAAAAAAATAAACCAAAATTCTTTTACATTTGATTTCGAGACGCTCACAACTCCGGAGGGATCTAAATGAGATGCTAAGTGGCCGAAAATCTATTCTTTCCAACCCCTTAAACAACCCCAAATCTTGGCATCCCCGCGGGGAAGGGCGCCGAGGCGGGTAAGCCGGTAGTAAAGCTATTTTTCGCGGAGGAGTCGCGAAAACGTGCCCGGGTCGCGCTGAGAGGCCGCTGTTTAGAGGGTCGCGCGGAGACATGTGGGGGGGGGGGCGGCGGCTTTAAGCCGCTTGTGCTCCGCCCACCTGCGAGGGCGGCTGCAGCACGGGCGAGGGCGCGGGTGAGGGCGAGGTCACGTGCGGGCGAGGGGCTCGTTTCCGGAGAGCGCAACCTCACGAACCGTGAAGAGGGTTTCCGGGGGCCCCAACTGGCGTGTCTGGCTATTTGAAATGCGAGTCTGCCCGTCTCGAATTAGAGTGTGGGAATTTTAAATTAGAGGTCGGGTACATCGAATTAGAGTGTGGGTATTTCGAATAAGAGTTTGGGTACATCGAATCGGAGTATGAGTACCTTGAATTACAGAATGAGACTCTAGAATCAGAGTAAGGGTACCGTGAATCAGAGTATGGTTACCTCGAATCTGAGTATGGGTACCTCGAATCTGAATACGGGTTCTTCGAATCTGAGTATGGGTACCTCGAATCTGAGTATGGGTACCTCGAATCAGTGCATAGGTACCTCGAATCAATGCATAGGTACCTCGGATAAGGTTTTAAGTACCGCGAATAAGAGTATTCGTATCTCGAATTAGAGTATGGGAACCTCGAATCAAAGTATGGTATTTAGAAGCACAGTATGGATATCTCGAGTAACAATGTGTTTTAAATCAGAACATGAGTATTTCCAACCAGAGTGTGAATCTTATATCTCGCGCTCGTTATATCGAATCGTACTCTCACGTATTCTAATCTGAGATTCGAAATTGCCTCATCACGAAACTGAATTTAATTATCTTACCTCGAATCTGACTCTAGTTATTTACATGTTGAAGTCAAGAGGAAAGTGTTAACAAATATTTTGATTCGATAAATTTGAAATTACTAATTACTGTGAAGTTAAAACAAGAAATTAAGTAATAAAGCTATCAATGTTTTATATTTGAATAAAGAATACGGAATGGATTTGAATACCGAGCGTAGAAAATAAAAATATGAATGTTTCGTACAAGTGGTTCAGAAAGAGGTCTAAGTATGGTTAATTAAATATTTAGAGATAACATGCATCAATAAAACATTAAAAAACATTTCTTGACCTGTTGACATACTACACAAGAACACATTTAAATATAAATTGTAAGTTCTTCCAATACTAGAAAAAAACTTTAAGCATAATAAAAAACATTGATGTACAATTTCATAAACAGAAAACACTACGATGTGAAGAAAAGGTGAAGAGAGCCGTCAGTATTTAGACTTTTCATCTTCCGCAATATCATTTATACAATATAAATGATTTATTTTCTGTTAATCTTTTCACCTTCTCTTCACAACCACGCAAGCAGTGATTTTAGCAATCGATAGCGGTTCGTTTTGCGTTTGGCATATGACATATTTAGTTTGCAGAACAGAAAAGAACTGTATGCCCTTGGTTTATTAAATCACTTTCTCGGGCATTATCCATAAAATTAGAAAACTAAAATTATTCGAACCTGACAAATAAATAAATAAATAAATAAATAAATAAATAAATAAATAAATAAATAAATAAATAAATAAATTGAGTCATGCCAGTGGGCCGCAACGCGCCACGAAGCGCCGCGCCAGCGAGGCGGGCGGCGGGCGGGCGGCCGTCGGCCGGTGGGGCAACGCACCTAGGAAGGCCTGCTGCTGGTGGGGCAGCCCGTACTCACTCTGGCAGTTGGTCATGGCCGGCATGCGGAAGGTGAGCGGGTCGGCGGCGGCACGCTGCAGCGGGTCCAGGGGCCCGCCGAAGTGGCCCGAGAGGAAGGGCCGCTGGCCGAAGGCGAAAGCGTGGAACTGCTGCTGCTGCCCTAGAAGCGACAGCACTGCACATCAGCACTGAAGGCTGCTCCCGCACACTCCCGCGAGGGCACACACGTCAACAACAAGTTTTAGTTCGAGGAATCAAAGCAGGGTTTTTACAAAATAAGGTTACGCTCGTTTTTGTCTTGCTGACAATCCTTCAGAAGAATTCCCCAATATAGAATTTTGATAACTCGAACTTTGATAACTCGAACTTTGATACCTCGAACTTTGATAACGCGAACTTTGATAACGCGAATTTTGATAACGCGAACTTTGATAACGCGAACTTTGATAACGCGAACTTTGATAACGCGAACTTTGATAACGCGAACATTGACAACTCGACCTTTGATAACTAATATATTGACAACAAATAATTATTGAATTTTCAAATTTATTTCCTAACTATTTACCTTATCCTTAAACGTGCGTTAGCTCAGAAGGATCAGTACTCTTTTGCAATCAAAATATCATCGATTAAAAAATGTAGCGATTCCTACTTTTTCTTGATAATTTTAAGAATAACTTGTTTTGCAATTCAGATGTTCAATATTTTCGGTTGTACAAGATATTTTAATGGCGTATTTATCACTGCCCACAGAGAAATTCCCAAATCCAATTTCAATAATTAGATCAGTGATGGTTGTAAAAGCTTATTAATAAGTTGTTTTGTGAATTCTGATCTCAAAATAAATAATACAATTTTGATGACAATACATTTCAGACAATTACGAGTATCAAGCAACGATTAACTTCGTGCAGTTAGATCATAAATATGCAGTTTGCTAGATAACACTCATTGCAGATTTAAAAGGAAAATAATTCTTCAATATTCAATAAAATGTACAATTCATTACAAAGAGCGGTAGAAATATGGAAAAATTATGTTCTGAAGGACTTACAGAATTTAAACAATTATCTTAAATGCACAGAGTAAATTCAGTATTGAAAAGAATCAGAAAAAATGTTGAGAAGACCAAAACTCCCAATCAATGATGTTGTGGCACCTACAGAAGAAAAAGAAGGAGAATAAAAAGAAAAATTGAAATTGACGTTGAAAAATCTGAGTAAAGATACAAATAGTTCATTCACGTTTCTTTTCCCCAAACATTTTTCAATATACAATATTTTTTAATGGTAAAGAAAAAAATCTTCTCTCGAAGCTTAAGACATTGTGTGCAAAGTACAATAAAAGAAGAAAACTATTAATGTCAAGGTAGTGTACATAAATTTCATCTTTGAATTAACAGTTTTACAAAACGAAAACAGTTGGATCTCGAAATATATTGATTCATCAATATTATTACCTTCATCACCTCGGCAATTTCTCCTTTCAGGTAGGAGTACGTGTTTTCTCATTTCCATTGCAGATCATGGGTCCAACTTAGGTAGCTGAAGGTAACGACCGATTTCACTGCAGAACATCTGACCGGGAGGTGGTAAGGTTCGATTCCCGGTGGTGGTAGGGTTTTCGACACAAGCTTGGTTGAAGCCAGACGCTGCCCTAGCGGCGGGCGGCTCTGATCGGTGCTTTCCGTGGTTTCTCCGATCAATACCAGGCGAATGCCGGGGCAGTGCCCTAACAAACGGGTCACAAACCGCGCGCGATCTATCTTTCCTATTCCTAGTCGTATCTTTACTCCTTTTTTACACACACATTACAAGCATGACACTACCACACAAGCCTGGAGGGAGCTGAGAGGTTGTCTCGGCCGGGGTGTCCCGTTGGTGGTGGAGAAAAACTCGCAAGCCGGCGTATATAAGTCGGTGCCGGATCTCAACATCCAGCTACAGATCACCGACCTCTCCCGTGAAAAACATACACTGCACTTGCAGGTATAATGAGTTAGAATATGTGGAGCCACCTTTCGATCAAGGAGGCTGCAGAGGGAGTGATGTTGTCGCTGGCCGAGGCAGCCGGTGACTACTTTTTAGTATCGCCAATACCACGACGTCTGAAGCGGCCCCTCCCAGGGTCAAGTCGATTGCAGCAACCAATGAAAACTACTGATCAGAGCAACTAAACGCTCGAATTCTCCATTAGACAGTGGTTGAGCCAGTTCTGAAGGAAGTGATGAAGGTCTGTCACCGACGTAACTGTAACCATCAGACATCTTGGTCAGAGCCACTGCAGACACATCAGCGATAATGACTAATCCGACACGATCATCTAAGCAGTGGTTCGTTAAGTTCTTCCGATCAAGGATGTTGCAGAGGGAGTGGTGTTGCCGCTGAGCGAGGCAGCGGGTGCCTCTTTTTTAGTATCGCCAATATCACGTCTGAAGCGGCGCCTCCCAGTCAAGTGGATCGCAACAACCAATGAAAACTACCGATCAGAGCAACCAACCGTTAGAATTTCCCATTAGACAGTGTACATTCAGCTTTGAAGGTAGTGAAGAAGATCTGTAACCGTTGTAACGCGAACTCTCGGACATCTTGGCCAGAGCCACTGCAGACACATCAGCAATAATGGATAATCCGACACGATCATCTGAGCAGAGATTCCTTACGTTCTTCCGATCAAGGATGTTGCAGAGGGAGCGGTGTTGCCGCTGAGCGAGGCAGCCGGTGCCTGCTCCTTTCCAGCACCGTCAATATCGCTGCGTCTGAAGCGGCGGGGGCGCCACCCAGGGCGAAGTCAATGAGACGGCAGGGGCGGCAGGGCGGGTCGGGGCGGGGCAGGCGGCGCCGCCGTCCGCTGGGCCTGCCGTCGGCAGCTGCGAGTTGCGGTCTCCGCATCTCCCCTTCGCCCCCCACCCCCCACACCCACCCCTTCCCCTCCGACAGCCTGGCCCAGACTTCCGCGCGCGCGCCCCGACCGGGTCCTCTGTCGAAGCTCCGCGCCGCGCCGGCCTCGAGTCAACTTGAGTCCCTGATATACAGGGTGAGTCAGGAGGAAAGGTACGTGCTTTGATCGGTGATACTACTGGTGATTCGGTGTAATGGTTAGCGTATCAGACTGTTGCACCCTAGTTGGCAGATTCAAACCTGATTGAAGCTCGTGTTTTTATGGCGAAAAACTCCTTCGTACGCCTTCCTTAGGAGGGGAAGTAAAGCTGGCTGTCCCTTGTTAGTAGATTTATTAGCATATAAAAGATCCTAAAAAATGCCTCTGAGCTACATTCGAATCATCTGTTTCGTCGCCCAAGAAAAACCTCCTTTCTCCGATGGCCCGAGTCTCACCACGTAAAATAAGGCATCAATTCCATTCGATTCTGAACAAAAACGTATAATAAACGTATGGCCTTTTCTTAACCGTTTTAGGGTAAATCAATGAAAACAAGTAGGAACCATAAACGTGCAGGTGACAGTAAATGAAGATACTGATTTGATAATGTTTGTTTAATGGTGTAAGTTTCTCCACAAAAGATGTTAAAACAGTCGACAATCAACTTCAATGCATTTTGTTGCTCTTGGAGGCAGGTGTCGTGTTGCTGATTTTACTTTTCTCATAAACTAAGTGTCTGTAATAAAAGGCAGTGTTCTTAAAGTTGAAAAATGACATTTCATTGAAATGACTTCCCATTTATAAGAAATTTTGCAATACACGTTGATTTGGCAAACATCAACTTTTTTTGTTATTTAAGGTCGCATTAACACTTCAGTCATTAGAGACTACTATTACATTTAACGGAGCGGTAACTGTGATGATGACACGATATGATGATGATAGGGGGCAAAAGGATGAACACAAATACAACCATTCTCGAGGCGGGACTCGAACACGCGATCCTTCGTTCCGAGATCGCCACGGCACCACTGCCTTAACCGAAAGAGGCAAAAAACAACTTCCAACCCCCTCCACAGCCTAGATATTTGTAACATTTATTCTGAGACGTTCTGCATCTTCTCTTCCATCTTTTACTCTATCTTCTCTATCTTCCTATCTAGTTTCTCCCAATTTTCCTTTTTTTAAAAAAAAAAGAATCTTATAATCCATCAGCTCTTTTTGCTTGCGTTCATTCAGTTCAGTCGTTTTCTTCTTGTTCTTCCTTTTCTCCTTCTCTTTCACTTCAGCTACTCCATTTCTTCCTCGTCTTCGCGCACCAGATCTGAAACGCCCGGCGCCAGCGCGCGACGCGACGCGACGCGCGGTTTCCTCCGACCTCGTCGTTCTCGACGCAGAGGTCCTGGGTCGATACTCGCCTGGCAAACGCTTTCCGGCGCAGGCTGCCTTTCGAGTCGAACTCAGACGCGACTCACAGCGCTTCTCGAAGCAGCGATTGCTCAGTGGAAGCATTGCCGTTTTATATGCAGCGTCACCGGGAGAGGGCGCTCAGGGTATCACTGATGTCACTGCAATGCTTTTGACAGGGCAGTCTCAATGGTGGCAGGATTTTCGACACTAGCTAGACAGCTGGGTCAAATTCAGGCGCCCGACTGCTCTGATCGATAGTTTTTCGTTGTTTCTCCGATCAACATCAGGCGACTGCCAGAGAACTAGCCTAACAACCGGGCCAAGAAACTCGTGCGATATTTCCTTCCTTTTCCGTGTCCCATCCTCATCCCTTACTTACACACTCTTACACTCACATGCACTACACTACCACACGTTCCAGGAGACCGGTCCGGGGTTTAGAACTTGTCCTGGTTGGGGCGGTGTCCCGCACGTGGGAGATACCTGGTTGAGAAATCGCCGTTAGCTGACAATAGATCGGCTCCCGATATCACCATCTAGAGGGGGAAGGTCACCGCCACTTTGCGAAGGAAACACATGCAGTAGACTTTGAAACCATAAACGTTTATGTTATCTATATTTTTGTATTATATTTCACCGACCGTCGTACATGCAGTTACAATTTTTTCAGCGTTTGGTAAAACTTCGCTTATTTAATAATTTCTAAAATCTATCATCTCTAATGATCTCTAATGATCATCTCTAATGATCATCTCTAATGATATGGGATCAGGGGCTACATCAGCGCGACGAATGCGGAATCTGGTAGGTACTAAGGTCTCGTAAGCCAGACAAAAGTTTAGAGACATTAAACCAGAAACATATATT